TATAGAGCAACGTTTTAACTGTATACCGGTCTTTGTCAGTGTTAATGGCCTACAGTTCCCATGATTCTTTGACTGTAATAGATAGTTACTTAGCAAATTATAGGGGGTGGGGGGTAGGGATCGACCGATATTGATTTTTTAGAGCCGATACCGATACCGATATTCTGTGAACTTTCAGGCCGATAGCCGATATAATTTGCCGATATTCTGTACATTTACCATTTTGGAAAATAAAAACTTTCTAAAGGTAAATGCACAAAATATACATGCCACGTGTAGTGGATGCAGTGTGTTTAGACAGGGAAGCTGTATGTATTTGTGTAGTGGAGTGCAGTGTGTGTTTGTGTAGTGTGTGCAGTGTGTATTTGTCTAGTGTGTAGTGGATGCAGTGTGTATTTGTCTAGTGTGTAGTGGATGCAGTGTGTATTAGTGTTGTGTGTATATAATGAAAGCAGAGTGTTTGTGTAGTGTGTGGGTAGTGTGCGTAAAGTGAATGCAGTATATACTAAATGCAAAGTGTGTGTGTTTGTGTAGTGTATATAATGAATGCAGTGTGTTTATATAATACAGAGTGTGTGTGTTTGTATAGTGTGTATATAATGCAGTGTGTTTGTGAAGTGTGCATTATATAAACACACTATGCAAACACACACTGCATTAATTACACACACTAAACACACTGCATTATATACGCACACTACACACACTGCATTATATACGCACACTACACACATTGCATTATATACGCATACTGCATTATATGCGCACACTGCACACACACACTGCATTATATACACACACTACACAAACACTGCATTGTATACACACTACACACACACTGCATTATATACACAGTGTGTTTGTGTAGTGTGTGTGTATATAATGCAGTGTGTGTGTATAGTGTGTATATATAATGCAGTGTGTTTGTATAGTGTGTATATATAAACACACTACACAAACACTGCCTTATATACACACACTATACAAACACACACTGCATTATATACACAGTGTGTTTGTGTAGTGTATGTGTATATAATGGAGTGTGTGTGTGTGTGAGGGGGGGGCATTTTTTATTACTTTTTTAATATATATTTAATTATTTATTTTTGTTGTCCCTCCTCCCTGTTTCATACCTGGCCAGGGAGGGGGGATATAGCAGTTCCTGGTGGTCCAGTGGTATTGGCTCACCTCCCAGCAGCTCCTTCAGCTCCCCAGTGTAACTCTCGCGGCCAGCGTGCCGCGCGGAGCGTTGCCATGGTAACCCATGGCAACGCTCGGACGGCCGCGGGTCTCGCAAGAGTTACACTGGGGAGCTGGAGGAGCTGCTGGGAGGTGAGTAAGCGCTTGCTGCCCACCCCCCAGGACCGCCGGGCTTGTAATGAGCCCGGCGGTCCTAGGAGGTATTATCGGCAATATCGGTATCTGAATTGGCCGATACCGATATTGCTGAAAATACCGAATATCGGCCGATTATATCGGTAAAACCGATAACCGGTCGATCCCTAGTGGGGGGTGAAGAAGTTTAGAACAACTTAAGCTCAGCTCAGCTTAATTTAATATAAATGTAATGAATTAATAGTTTTTTATATGAATAGAGAAATACTGCAACTTTAAATGACCCTTTGTTAACTGATAGTGATGTTCAAATTGATAGTTAAAAGAAACACTATAGTCACCTAAACAACTTTAACTAAATGAAGCAGTTTTGGTGTATCTATCATGCCCCTGCAGTCTCACTACTCAGTTCTCTGCAATTTAAGAGTAAAATGACTTTGTTTATAAAGCCCTAGTCACACCTTCCTGCATGTGACTTGCACAGCCTTCCTAAACACTTCCTGTAAAGAAAGTTCTAATCGTTACACTTCCTGTATTAAACATTCTGTTTAATTCCCAGATTTTACTAATAACATGACGTAAAGTCATGACTTTATTAATGACACGGAGGCGAGTATTATGCTATCTCTTTCTTACTTTATTCCTCAGCAGCAAAGAGAAATATAAAACTGAAAGAGAAAAATGTAGATATGAAATATAATAACAACAGGTACAACCAGATCTGCCTAGTAACAGGGCAGCCAATCAGCTTAGTAGGAACAGTCCATAAATGTCTTGCTTAGTACTTCCACTTCCTCTTCTTTGCCTTCTGAACCGAAGACCCAAACCAAACTTCCACATCAGGAAAGAACAATCTCCAACAAGGTAGACGTCCTCTTAACGAAATCAAGCTGTAAAACAGAGAAAAAGTAGGTAAAATCCAAACTCCGGACCTGCATGTAACATTTCATGACCATCTGACCTGTAGGACTACAAACGTTAAAATTGTAACCATATAAGTACATAGATCCAGATACGCCAGGTCAGAGAAAAAACCGTGAACACTTACCTTGAGGTAAAAGATCTCCCCGATAGAACAATGAGTATAGACCCAAGCCCTTCCCAACGGTTGGATGGGTGGGAATAATACTCGCTTCCGTGTCATTAATAAAATCATGACTTTACGTCATGTTATTAGTAAAATCTGGGAATTTTATTAATGACACGGAGGCTCCTATTATGCTAGTTTAAAGCTGAGCCACAACTAACGAGGAGACATGGTCAATCGGGCGGAAATAAAAATCGCGAAACGTAGATTCCCTAGACCAATCCGCTGCCTTCAGGATATCATCCAGACGACATCCCATAGTGGAGGCCTTAGACACCATGGCGCCTCTGACCGAATGATCCGAAAAAATTGAAGTATCGATTCCAGCAGCAGATAGAAGATTCTTAATCCAACGAGCTAACGTAGTCGAGGAGATCGGGAGAAACGGTTTCTTAAGGGAAATAAACAATTGGGATAAATCCGATGATCTCAATAGATGAGTGCGATCCAAGTACACCCGTAGGCAAGCTACCGGACACAGAACACGTCGGACTGAACAGGATAGGTCACTGACTTAGAGGACGTCTTAGTCCTCCTAGAGATGTTAAACGACACTCCCTCGGGGGTGAAGGATAACGCGTTCCAATCCAAAGCCCTGCCATCTGAGACCCTTTTGCATGAAAGGAGACACAGGAGCATAACCAATTTCCAGGATAATTGCTTCAGCGACAGGTCCTCATTAAGGGGCCATGATTCCAAGAAGTCCAGTACTACGTTAACATCCCAAAACGATGAATATCTTGATTTTGGAGGCCTAGAGTAACGAATACCCTTCAACAAACGGCACACAAAAGGATGTTGTCCAATCGGTGAACCGTCGATACCCAGATGTCCGGCTGAGATGGCCGACCTATAAACATTGATAGTGCGATAGGCCAGACCAGATTCAAAACGTGCAGTCAGAAAGCTGAGCACCTCCTTCAGAGGGGCAGAAAGGGGATCCAGCAGTCTCCCCACGCACCAGCCAGACCACACACGCCATGCAGACTTGTAAGCTGTTCTGGTACCTGGTGCCCAGGCATTTTCCAGGAGTCTTGTAGTAGCCTGCGGAACGTCCGAGACACACCAGGGTCCCCCGAAATCAACCAAGCCGTGAGCTGGAGTAGGTCCTGGTCCACTAACTCGTGCGAGTTCCCATCCGGATCCAGAAGCACCTCTGGTCGCATCCTGATCATTCGTGGACACTCCGCCGCCATCTCCAAGAGACGAGGAAACCAGGGCTGAGTCTGCCATAGGGGAACTATCACCACCAACGTGCACTCTTGTCCGGACAAGTATGCCAGCATCCGAGAGATCAGGTTGAACGGGGGGAACGCAAAGTGACGACCCCGAGGCCAAATCTGCAGGAACGCGTCCACCGCCGTGGCTGATGGATCCGGTCTCCAACTGAAGTACCGGGTAGTTGAGCATTCAGTCTGGATGCGAACAAGTCCAGTTGCAGCGGGCCCCATAGGTGATCTATCTGTTGAAAGATCGAAGGCAACAGATGCCAATCTCCTGAGTCTTTCAAGTATCGCGAATTCCAGTCCGCCCATTCGTTGTCCAAGCCCGGGATGTGTTCAGCCGTGACCGACACCGCGTTGTGAAGGCAGAACTGCCAGAAGTCCTTCGCTAGATTCGCCAGTTGTTTTGACTTCGTGCCACCTAGGTGATTTATATACCTGACTGCGGACACATTGTCCATGCGCAGAAGGATGCAGCAGTTTCCCAGGGTTGGAGACAGGCTGCGAATTGCGAACGATCCCACCAGCAATTCCAGACAGTTGATATTTAGCGTTGATTCGATCTCGGACCATCTGCCACCTGTGGAGACATTTCCACAGGGAGCGCCCCAGCCATGCAGGCTGGCACCCGATTCTATTACCATATCCAGGGCTGAGCCGAAGATCGCTCGACCATTCCATGCCTCCATATGGTCCAACCACCACCGAAGTTCCTCCTTGGAGTCTCTGTCCAGGGACAGTTCGCTTTCGTACGAACTGCCCGAGCGAAGGTGGGATCCCTTTAGCCGTTGTAGGGCTCGGTAATGTATGGGTCCCGGAAAAATCGCCTGAATGGACGAGGCCAAGAGACCAATGACCCTCGCCAGTTGCCGAATGGAGAGACTGGTGGTCCGTAAAGTACGTCTCAGTTCCTTCTTCATAGCCTTTAGCTTGGCTTCTGGAAGAAACGAAAACTGGGCGGCCGAATCGACTTCGAAACCCCAAAATTCTATTCTCTGCGTCGGAGACACCATGGATTTTTCCCAATTTATGAGAAAACCTAAGTTCTCCAGAAGATCCACCGTCCAGCCTAGATGCTGTAGAAGTTGTTCGGGGAACGCGGACATAATCAGTATGTCGTCCAGATAGATAATCATGCGTACTCCCCGCGACCTGAGAAATGCCACTACCGGTTTCATCACCTTTGTGAAGCACCAAGGTGCTGAAGAGAGACCGAAGGGCAGACAAGTAAACCTCCATCGACGTCCTTGCCACGTAAAGTGCAATAAGTCCCAGTGTTCCTCTGCCATTGGAATAGTCAAATAGGCATCTTTGAGGTCCAGTTTGACCATCCAATCTCCTTGCCGAAGCAGGTCCCTGAGGCAATGAATGCCTTCCATCTTGAAGTGATGGTAGTGGAGGAATCCGTTGAGGTGTTTGAGATTTATTACCGGTCGAACACCTCCACCCTTCTTGGCAACAAGGAACAGGTTGCTTAGGAACCCCGGGTGGTCGTACGGGACTTCCTGTATTGCCCGTTTGAGCCGAAGTTCCGAGATCTCCTTGGTAATGAGATCGGACTGCTCTGCAGGCAATCTCAGTTCCTGTGGTGTCAAAACCTGGACAGGGAGAGATAACAGATCTAGGCGGAAACCCTTGATCGTATTCAGAACCCACACATCTGTGGTGATCAGTCCCCACATATCGAAATACAGTGCCAGTCTGCCACCCACATTTGAATAAGAAAATGCCCGTATGGGGGAACTTACCGTAAGGGCGTCTGTATGAGGGTTGACCACGTCCACCTCGATTCTGCCATGGTCTCCCACGTGAGGGAAAGAATGGAGCCGGTTTGTAGTCTTGGTATGCCCGAGGGGCAGCAAAGGAACCTCTGTGAGTCCGTGTGGGACCTCGAGCTCCACGGCCGGGCGGGCAGCTCCTGTACCTCCTGGCCCCATGGAAAACCTTTGGGCTAAAGACCCGTTTTAAGTTAGACTGGGCTTTGTCTAGGGCAGTGAAGGTGCGCACAAAGGAGCCCAGGTCCTTAACAAAGGACTCTCCGAAAAGCATACCCTTGGCGGCAGCACCCGGTTCTTTCACAGCTAGATTCACTAGCTTTGGCTCGATCTTGAGCAAAATCGCCTTGCGGCGCTCGGCCGACATGGCCGTGTTAGCGTTGCCGAGAAGGCAAATCAATCTTTGCACCCATCCTATTGCCTCATCAAAATCCAGGGGGTTGTTCTCCGACTTAGCTGCCTCTAACAGCTCATACAGCTTGGCAGCAGGCCCCAGGGTGTCTAATATTTTGTCCTGACAATTATGGAGCGAGAACTCCAGCCCCTTCTTGGGCTTCCAGCCCGTTTTTGCCAGGAACTGTGTAATTTGAGGGTCTACCTCTGGCGTCTCGCACGCCGCATCAGGCACTGAAGGCCTTGGGCATTCAGCCCGTAGTTTGCTGCGTCCCTCCTTGGACAGAGGAGTGCGCATGCGGAGGGCTAGGTAATTAGCTATATGCTTGGGTGGGTCCCATTCCGCCGAGCGGGGATGGCGAAGATCATCAGGATCGAATAGGGGGTAACCCTGCGGGTCGCACATGTCTTGCCCCTCGCCCGGAGGTAGCGCCTCAGCGTCAGACCCTGCCTCAGCATCGGAGCCCCCTTCCTCATAAGAGGTGTACTCATGGGCATCCGAGCACAACTCCTCACTCTGATCCGAGTCAGATCTATCATCATCATGGGCACGTGCCCTTTTCCATTTTCTGGCCGATTTTGCACAACCAGCGGCTCTCTTGCGCGGTAGCGCGCCATCTTGGACGGCCATAGGCACGTCAGTCAGGGCAGGTTTCACCTGCATCATATCATGGGAGACGTGTTTCCGTTTAGCCTGCGCTTTGCGGCCCGACTGAGGCTGCAGCACAGGCTGAGGATTGGGTACCACAGAGGGAGGCAGGGGTTGGGACAACGCTTGCTGAATGGTGTGAGACAGGGATGAGGATACTGATCCCATGGCCGAAGCCAAGGCCCTCTGTATGGTGGAGTCAATGAGGGCCTGGAACTCCTGGGAGGGAGTAAGGCCACTTTCCCCAGTGACAGGTGTTTGCATGGGGCCCACAATGGGGTAGCTGGGGCTGTCAGACTCCTCACCTCTGGCCGGCATGATACAGCAGGAAGGGTGAACCCAAAACAGAAATAAATGTACTTTAAAAATCCTAACAGGGAACAGTAATGCAGTAAGTGATAGAACGAAATAGACCTAACACAAACAACCTAGCAGGGGTTGAGTAACCCACAACAAATACCTGCACAGTAAAGGGAAACGAAAGGGGGGGTAAGGAGGGAGCCGACCCGCCGAGCAGACCCAGCCACGTGCGTGCCGATAAGCCAAGATGGCCGCCGTGAGCAGAGCGCGCCGCGGGTACCCGGCGCTCCTCCCCCGCCAATGGCCGGGGAGTGCGTGGTACACACGTGGCCGGGAACTCCCTCGCACCAGTTGGTGCGAGGAGACTGATCGGGCCGGCAGATAACGCGGCCGCACACATGCGGCCGCGCGGGTAGAGGAGGGAACAGGGAGCCAGAAGCTCCAAACGCAGAAGGACACTTCCCCTGAGAGCCGCGGATCCCAGCCTGTGCTGACAGAAATACAGCACAATCAGGGAGACCGGGCAAAGGGGAGAGAAAACAGATATAAACAATCAAAACACAAATATAATGACTAAAGGCATTATCCACAATAAGTAATATAAATAATCAGGGCAGAAATCACCCTGACAATCAAAATACAGATCAATATACAGGAGGTAAAATTATACTTAGCTGGTCTGAGGACAGCAGCAAAGAAAGAGGAAGTGGAAGTACCAAGCAAGACATTTATGGACTGTTCCTACTAAGCTGATTGGCTGCCCTGTTACTAGGCAGATCTGGTTGTACCTGTTGTTATTATATTTCATATCTACATTTTTCTCTTTCAGTTTTATATTTCTCTTTGCTGCTGAGGAATAAAGTAAGAAAGAGATAGCATAATACTCGCCTCCGTGTCATTAATAAAATTTTGATTTTCTTGTCTTCTGCTCTGTTAATAGATAATAATAAAATTGCTAGATCCAACAGCAGCCTTCTGTGTGTGATTAAAGTTCTATTTGCAAAGCAAGAGAAAAAAACAAAACTTTTAAAGTAAGTTACATCTGATTGAAAATCAAACCATTTTGTTTTCTTGCAAGCAATGTGAGTCACAGTCAGGGGAGGTGTGGCTAGGGAACAGAAACAAAAGTGACTTAACTCCTAAATGGCAGTGAATTGAGCAGTCAAACTTCAGTGGCATGATCTATACCAGGCCTGCACAACCTGCAGCCAGATGTTTTTGAACTACAACTCTCTTTGAATAAAACAAATAGCCAACTCCCATGATTCATTTAATGAAACAGATAGCCAACGCCCATGTTTTTTTTCTTCTTCTTATCTTGGCTGATAACCAGGGGATTATGGGAGTTGTAGTTATAAATCTGGGGGGGCGGGGGGGGCTCAGGTTATGCAGGCCTGATCTATACACTAAACCTGCTTCATTAAGCTAAAGTTGTTTTGGTGACTAAAGTGTTTAAAGGACAACTGTCATCACATTTTCACTTATTGCTTTTAAAAGTTTCAAAATGTTTTGGAAATGTCTAACAAAATTAAATTTTCTGTACTAAAACGTGATTCTGCGTTCTCTATTATTGAGTGTATTCAACTCAATATAGTATGCACAGAGGCGGCTCTAGACTTTGCAAGGCCTTAGGCGAAAGTCAAACATGAGGCCCCCCATTTACACCATTAGTGAAAAAAATTGCCGCAACTCCCTATGCCGCTGCGTTGTGAGCACTTACTGTAGATATGACATAAATTGCTAATCATTTGTATACGATTGCTGGGTATGGTTGTATAGCCTGACATTTCCCCACATATTCTAAATTCCTTAACATGTATATTATCATATATGTGTTTCCCTATGTATTTTATGTATGTATGTATGTATGTATATATATATATATATATATGTTGCTTGCAACTTTATCTTTGCATTGCCCATATCATACCACAACCACACTGCAGACACACGCACACATTTAAACACTAATACATATACACACTGATACATGCACATGCATTTACACACACACACACACACACACAAACACACTGATGCACACATATTGACTAATACAGACATACAGTCACAATGTGTTTATCTGGCTGTGTGTATTTCTAAATGTGTCTGTCATTGTCTATCTGTGTATGTGCCTGAGAGTGCGTCTGGCAGTGAGTACCCTTGTATGTGAATGTATGTTTCTGTGAGCATGTGTATGTTTGTGTCTAGGACCGTATGTGTGTGTGGTAGCTGCTTGCGGTATTTTTTGTATATGGACTGTGGCCTTTGTGCATTTTGTCTGTGGGGAATGGTGACAGGGTGTGTGGAGGGAGGTGACAGGGTGTTGAAAGGGGAGACTGTGTGTGGGAGTGGAGGGGATGACGTGAAAGAGAGTGGAGGGGGCTGACAGAGTGTGGAGAGGTGTGACAGAGTGTGGAAGGGGGTGACAGATTGTGGAAGGGATTAACAGAGTGTGAAAGGGGGTGACAGGTCGCTGAGGGAGGGATGGGGTGACAGAGTTAGGGGGTGGCAGAGTGAAGGGTGGGCAGGTGGCTGAGGGAGGGTAGGAGGGGGTGACAGGGGGCTTTGCGATGAGGTGACAGAGTGAGGGAAGGTGGGGTGACAGGGGACAGAGTGAGGGTAGGTGGGGGTGACAGGAGACAGAGTGAGGGTGGTGACAGGTGTTAGAATTAGGGTAAAGGGGGTGACAGGTGGCAGAGTGAGGGCCACAGTGAGGGGGTGACAGTTGTCAGTGAGGGAGGGGCTCACAGGGGGCAGAGTGAGGGGGTGACAGAGGGCAGAGTCAGGGAGGGAGGGGGTGACAGCGGGCTTAGTGAG